AATAAGCAGATTTTATGAGTAGCTAAATAGAAGGCAGATCTATAGTTTTGTGAAATATTGTGTTGGGGAGAGAGAAAGAGATTTGGTAGAATGGGCTGATTTTTTGACTTACTATAGTTGTCACGCACCATTGGCTAGTTTTACCACATTGTGATGTTCTTATCATGCTTTCAGCTTAGTCTTTTTTTCCTTAAATAATAAGGCATTGTGCCATCTATAACTTAATCTGCTATGTCAAATCTGATCGGAATATTTCTCAAAATCATCGGTCAAAATTAATTGCCTACCATTCCCTCAAATAATGAAAGAAATGACAATCTACCGTCGATGCACCCAGTAAAGTATTGCAAGCTACCCAACAGGGTTAATTTTCTGAATTATTATAGTTAGGGTAATGCAGATTTGTCATGCATTTTTGGCTAGTCTTTACCTTATTTTGATGGTCTTATCATGCTTTCAGGTTAGTCTTTTTTCCTTCAATACTAAGGCATTGTGACATCTATAACTTAATCTGCTCTATCGAATCGAATCAGAATATTTCTCAAAATCATCGATTGAAATTAATTGCCAGCTGGCATTCCCTCAAATAATGAAAGAATGCTCTATCGAATCGAATCAGAATATTTCTCAAAATCATCGATTGAAATTAATTGCCAGCTAGCATTCCCTCAAATAACGAAAGAAACGACAATCTACCACCGATGCACCCAGTAAAGTATTGCAAGCTACCCAACTGGCATAATAAATCGGCACATTTACAGCAGCTCCGTCGTTATATGCAAACAAGTAGGAAAACCAAAATTTGACGATTTCCACCCCACTCTTGTAAGAAGATTCCATGACTAGTTAAATAGAAGGCAAAGCTATCAAGTTTGTGAAATATTATGTTGGAGAGAGAGAGAGAGAGAGAGAGAGAGAGAGAGAGAGAGAGAGAGAGAGATTTGGTAGCACAAGTTAATATTTTGAATTACTATAGTTAAAGTTATGCATATTTGTCATGCACCTTTGGCTAGCTTTACCTCAGTTTGATGATCTTATCATGCTTTCAACTTAGCCTTTATTTTTTCCTTAAAAGAAAAAGGCATTGTGCCATATAACTTAATCTGCTCTGTCGGAACAGATTCGAATATTTCTCAAAATCATCAGGCGAAATTAATTGCCAGATAGCATTCCCTCAAATAACTAAAGAAATGAAAATCTATCATCGATGCACCCAGTGTAGGATTGCAAGCTACCCAGGCAGCGTAATAAATCGGCACATTTACAGCAACTCTGCAGTTGTATGCAAACAATAGGAAAGCCAAAATTTGACGACCCCCCCCCCCCTCTTTAGTAAGCAGATTTTATGACTAGTTAAATAGAAGGCAAATTTATAATGTTTTGTGAAATATTGTGTTGGAGAGAGAGAAAGAGACTTGGTAGCATGGTTAATTTTGGTGAATTACCTATAGCTAGGGCAATGAATATTTGTCATGCAAAATTGGCTAGTTTGCCACATTTTGATGATATCATTATTGTTTCAATTTAGCCTTTTTTCCATACAAAATAAAGCATTGTGCCAACTATATCTTAATCTCCGTAGTCGAATGAGATCGGAATATTTCTCAAAAAACATATGTCGAAATTAATTGCCAGCTAGCATTGCCTCGGATAGCAAAAGAAACTACAATCTTATATAGATGAACACAATAAAGGATTGCAAGCTACCCAACTGGCGTAATAAATCGGCACATTTTGAGCAACTTCGTCGTTATATGCAAATAAGTAATAAAATTTAAATTTTACGATATACACCCCCCCCCCTAGTAAGCAGATTTTATGACTATTTAAATAGAAGGGAAATCCATACAGTTTTGCGAAATATTGTGTTGGAGAAAGAGAAAGACATTAATTTGGTAGCACGGGTTAATTTTCCGAATTAATTTTGTCACTATTCACTGAAGTTTGACCACATTAAATATCATTTTATTTTAGTTTGGATCTAATCCAAACATTTGAGGTACAAACATATTTTACTACCCACTACAATTACACAAAATTTCAACAACAAAAAAATGTTGATCGATTTCAATGTTTTCGTAGTATTGATTTTGGTTTCAATTACTACAAAAATATGGGTGTGTCGCATAACGGGCACATAATTAAGTTTATCAATAGAGACCATCCGGTGCATTGCTACCAGACAATTTTTGGGGTTTTTATAGATCTCAATGGTATGCTATGTATATCTGGTGTTCAGTAGAAATGTAGAATTGATAGGATATGTGCATTTGATCTTTTGATGGCGTGTTTTCTTTCACAGTGGTGGCATTGACAGTGTTGTTAATCGGTAGATTCCCGATTGAGAATCCCAATTAACTGGTACAAGAGTACCTAAATTATCAGCCAACGAGCTCTTCCACAGCCGCCCCGCGTCCAAAAATCGACTAGGATGTGGGGGATTTGGCGTTCTCTTAGAGAAGATGAATTATGTTTTTTTAAGAGAAGACGAATTATATTGCATGTGTCTTGGTGTCAATGTTTGTGTATAAGCCAATGATTAACTATTAAATGATAAATCCAGTTCATCACCTGATTAGCCGATTAATTTCATAGACTCCCCTGCGGCCATATGTGAACTTGACTGTTCATTCATGTAGTTTTTTTGTTGCTGGAATTTATTTGTAGGTCGAGCTTTCGCCTCGATTTAATTTGACTAGGATGCATGTTTGATTCTAAATTATCTGATCAGACAATTATAATGTGACATTTTATATATATGATGAGTTGGTGACAATTATATTGTGACGTGCACTCATGCGCATTAGGCATGAAAAGTTTTTGACATATTTTCCACGTACGCATGCAGGAGGGACAGCTTCATCACCCACCGCGCCTTCTGCGACGCGCTAGCCCAGGAGAGCGCGCGGCTGCCGCCGATCGGCGCCGGCATGTACGGCGGCCCCGGCAACATGGCCCTCAGTAATCTCTCCGTCCTGGCGCCACAGATGGCCGGCGGCTTCCCAGACCAATCCGGCCACCACTCGTCAGCTTCGGCCATCGACGTCCTCAACCTCGGTGGTGGTGGCGGCAACGCCGGTCAGTTCGAGCACCTCATGCCATCGTCCTCCGGGTCCTCCATGTTCCGCTCCCAGGCCGCCAACTCCTCCCCATTCTATATGGGCGGCGGCGCCGCCCAGGACTTTGCCGAGGATGACGTCCACCGTTCCCATGGCAACCAAGGCTCCCTCATCCAGGGAAAGTCTCCCGCGGCCTTTGATGGCCTGATGCAACTTCCGGACCAGCACCAGGGAAGCGGCGGCGGCAACGGTAATAACAACCTCCTGAACCTTGGCTTCTTCTCAGGCAATGGCAACGGGGGCGGCCAGGACTCGCGCCTGGTCTTCCAGAACCAGTACAACGGCAGCGCCGGAAACGGCAGCAGCAGCAATGGAAATGGAGAGAATGGCGGCATGGTCGCCTCCGGCAGCATCCTGGGAGGCGGTGGCGGGGGCTTCCCTTCGCTCTACAGCTCGTCTGAGGCGGGTGGCGGGCTCCCGCAGATGTCCGCAACTGCGCTGCTGCAGAAGGCGGCGCAGATGGGCGCGACGACGAGCAGCCATAACGCTGGCGCCGGCGGCGCCGGGCTTCTCCGTGGCCCGGGTATGAGGGGCGGCAGCGGGGAAGGCGGGTCGTCGGCCGCGGCAGCGGCGGCGAGCGAGAGGCAGTCGTTCCATGACCTCATCATGAACTCTCTGGGTAGCGGGAGCGGCGCCAGTGCCACAACCGGCGGTCGCGCCGGGGCGTTCGGCAGCGGCGGGGGCTTCCCCGTGGACGACGGCAAGCTGAGCACCCGGGACTTCCTCGGCGTCGGCCCTGGCGGCGTGGTGCAAGCCGGCATGGGGCCGCCCCGGCGGCACAGCGGCGGCGCCGGGCTCCACATGGGCTCGCTGGACCCTGCCGAGCTGAAGTAGCAACCCTGCCGAGCTGAAGTAGCAACCTACAGCAGGATCGATCTATCGTCAAGAGAAACAACAAGAAATGCATGGAAAGCTCTCAAGGTAAGGTGCGTGCATGGCGACGCAAGAATGAAGAGAGCGTGCATATTTCTGCATGTAGAAGAACAGAGGTTAATAAATTAGTTTCTTGGGTAATCTTTCGTGATGTTAATTAATTAGTGGACGTGTCCTCTTTGGCAAACTAGCTAGACCAGAATTTCAGTTTAATTTTGCCATGTTTCATGCATGTATGTATGTGATGTACATTTGGTTGGCCGGTCTCCTTGGAACTTGGATGTGAGATGTGAAGACCGGACCAGACCGGAACTTAATCTGTTACCATTTGGGGTTTTACTGCCTGCTTGATACATGCATGCATGCATGCCTGCGCTAATGTCTGGATGATGATCATCAGAGTATACAATTTAATATCTATGTCAGCGCCGGCTTTATATTTCATGTTGGTTTCTTCTCTGGGTGGCGCTGCTTTCAAAGCTGAAAGGACGACTGGGGCTGATCAGCAAGCAAGCACAGTGGGCATTAATTAGCCGGTACGTCCTCAGCTTATGACCAGTCAGTGAGGCTGGATGGATGCATCAGTGTGTACGTTTATGTAGGTCTCAGGCGAGACCAGACATGAAGCACACGACAGGGGAGGAAGATACAAGCAGATGATCCAAGGCACGCATCCCCAATGCATGGCTCATCGATGAGCAGCCGCTGCTGCTAGCTCTGGCTATGGTTGTGACTTGTGAGCACGTACTCGTAGATTGCACCACGTACTCGTAGATTGCACCACTAATTATTCCCTCGATCTTGGTTGGCCTCTTGACTTTGCATGCCCCTCGTCGATCGTCTGCAAGCAAAAAATTGCTTGCACTGCTGACACTGTGTGTGTTGTGATCCGGCCTGGCTGAGGCACTACACATATAGGGGTGGATTGACGTATACAAATGTAGCCGGGTCGCTATGCAATGTTTGGATGTAGCTGAACGCTACAGAACAAAGCTGGCCCTCTCAAAGTCCACGTGAAGAGAGAGAGAGAGAGACGACAGGTGCATGCTAGTCTGTGCATCAGGCAGGTCGATCCAGAACTAGCTATAGCTACACAGGAAGGCCTGTCAAATGTCACCCTGTTTATGTGATCACTACTCACTAGGTAGGCACATTTTGGCTAATCAAGGGCATCTCCAAAGTGGCTCAAACCGTCCCGGACTGTACGGTCCACAGTCCGGACATGTTCGTGCCATCTAACGCGGGTCTATATCAGTTCACTGAGCGGGCTAGGCATATTTTTTTTGGGCGAACACGAGATAAACTGGAGGCCTTTGCAAGAGTCCGGACTGCAGACGCGTAGGACTCCCAACATCCCCAGCCCTACCAAAACCCCTCCTTGACCCCACGCCTCCATCCTCTCATTTTATCTTCTTCTTTTTTCCCTCTGTTGCCTTGGCCGCCGCTCCACCACCCCCGCCGCCCAGGTGAGTTCGTCGCCTCCAGTGGTACACCAGGGATCCAAGCCGCTTCTTCTCCGCCGCTGTTTCACACCTCTCCTCCGACCGCCGCAGATACCATCAGCTCCTATGGTACTCACCATGCCCGGCAACTGTTCGATGAAATGCCTGTGCTAAATTTGTTTGGCCCTTCATCTTTGAAACAATGGATTCGAGTATGGAGTAATATACGAGCACTATGTTGAGTCGTGAGAAGGCTCGTCTGACGAGGAGTACACGGATGAGACGATGATGATACTGGTGGTTATTGCAGACCTGAGGTGTGCGGAAGAGCATATCCTCAATTTGAAGGTATTGATCAAGGGTCATTGAGTGGTCAGCCGCAACAGTGAGCACAACCATTTGACGCTGATGTACGACTACATTGCCCCTGATGCCCTCTTCGCTGACAATTTTCACCAGCGATTTCGGATGCGCAAAAATATCTTCGATTATCTCTACCATGGGGTCCGATCCCCCACCGCTAAGCCTTTTCTTATGGGCCATTGAGTCACACGAGAAATAAGCCAGTGCTGGTTGATCGAATTGAACTCATGGTAAATTGCCCCACCTCGTTCATTTAGGCCTATTCACATCTATTTATATACGCAAGTTAATTACTTCCTCTCTCTCTGTTTACAGGGCGTGCGCGTACCCCTAGGTCGTCAATTTGACCAATCTAATACAAATCATATATTACAAAAAATATATCAATATAAACTTTAGATGTTCTATTTTCAAAAGATATAAGTTTTATGTTATATAGTTTATATTAGGATGATAAAATTGGCAACCTAGGTATACGTGTAGGACTTGTAAACTGAGATGGAGGGAGTACCTACAATATCAGTAAGACGGTGAGAACGGACAAGGGGAAGCCACATACAAGCTGGGTAGCCAATTGGCTACCCGGCTTTTTGGTGAAATTAGCATAATATTAGAAATATTGGGACATATTTGTATAAATTCATAGCGACAGATGTTGCCTAGACGGTGACTTTAGTCTTACTGTTGTATGACTTTGTAAGATCTTGTGTGAATAATTAATAAAGTAGCTGCATGCATCGTTCAGATGCAGAGGCCGGGGGTCCTCCTTCTTTAAAAAAAACAATTTGAAACTGATTATACAAGGCTATATTTCTGGCACCGCCACTGGGGGTTGCAATGAAAGCAGATGTGCAACATGGAATACACCCAAGAGGAGTAGACCTTTGCACATGGGCGCCCAGCGCCCTACTGAATTAATTTGACGGCGGCGAATCCTTAGGATATGGGTGGAAGGCTGGCGGCCAGTACAACAACGGCTCACTCTCACTCTGATCGAAGAACAATCAGGATGACGAAAAACCCGCGGGTGAAAAACCTTGGCAACAACGGCTCCTCGGCTTGACGCCTGGCTTGGCCTACATGTTATAAATTGCCCGAACAACCAACAGGACTTGCTCACAAGTTCGTGTCAAATTTAGGACCAGATTTGTCATGTCCATTCTGCGGCTAATCATGGAAATATATAATTAAAGCACGAGAAAAAAATTATATCCTTCTTTTACATAGGTTGTTGAAGGCTAGCCAGGATTTTACTCGCAAAAAAAAGGCTAGCCAGGTTTGTTGTATGAATATAAAGATGTGCCTGATGTATATCTGAGAGTAAAATGCACTGGCAGTCAATCAACTTGCGAAGAGCGCTCAGTTTGGTCACTGTACTTAGGGCATCTCCAGCCGCGCCCCCAAGAAGGCCTCCCCAGGCGTTTTTTTCGCGTCGGCGCCGAAAAAACGGCCCAGTGGCGCCCCCAGGAGCCCGATTTTCGCCGGCTTGGACCGAAAACAGCGCCGGCGAACCCAGCCCGAACCCGGCGCGCTGGGGGGCACTCGGCGGCGCCGGGCGAATTTTTTTGGCGCGAAGAAGCCGCGGGGCCGCCACGTCAGCGACACGGCTCACTTCTCGGCCCTTCGTCGTCCTCATCGCCTCGTTTCCCGCGGCGAATCAATGTCAAAGCTGCCGCGCCGGTCAGCCTGCGCCATTGATGCCTCACGGGCGGCGCAGTGAAGACCGGACGACGCGCGTCCCTTGCCCGCCACGCGTACACACGGTGCCACGCGTGTGGGCGGCGCCTCGGCCTATATATGACGCGCCCCGACGCACACGGCGAGTCACACTCTCCCGCCGTCGTCATTCATCCCTCCCCTCTCCTCTTTTTCGCCGTCTCCAGTTCGCACCCATGGCCGAGCGCTTCTCTGGCGACGGCGCGGCGGCGCGGCGGCGAACGGCTTCGGCCGCCGCCATCTTCATGAAGACGAGGCTCGCCTCCTTTACGAGGCCGAGTACCCGGTCCCGCCGGACATGCGGGTGCCCGGGGCGTGGAGGATCAGCGCGGGCGGCGTGCCATTGCCCCCGATACCCACCGGCACGGTGCGGCGTGCGGAGATCGCATGCATCCGCTCGAACCTGCCGCGTGCGGTGAGGGAGGGGCCACGGTACGTCCCCGACAGCCCGCTCTGGGACCCGTACATCCGCCGCCGTCACGCCCAGCAGCTCGAGGCCACCAATGGCGTCGTGCCCTCCGGCAGGCTCAACTCCGCCGGCCGGCGTCGGTGGTGGGGCGTGCCCGGGCGCACATTGGAGGCCGTCCTCGAGTACATCGAGGGCGGCAACATGCCGCGCCTCGAGTACCCCGCTCCCCCTTCCTTCTCACATCGTCGGGGAAGCTCCTGGACCCCGAGGCGCATGGAGACCGGGGGGTCCTCCTCCTCGTCCGGCGGCTCGCCCTGCCTCCGCCCCGTCAAGCCGGAGCCCCAGGGCACACCAGTCGCCGCGCGCACCCGCAGCTCCGGCGTCCGCATCGGCGCCAACGCCTCTCCATCCACCGGCCGCTTCGTCCTCGTCGAGCCCAAGCCGGAGCCCGGCCTCCCTGCGGAGTACGAGGAGATAGCCCGGCGCGGCTTCTCCGACGAGGACGCCATGCGGTGGGCGCGGGACGACTACCTCCGCGACGAGACGGTCCGGCAGCGCCGGGCCCTGGAGGAGATCACTGCCCGCAAGCATGGGCGCGAGAACGCCCACGGCGTCGTAGTCCTCGACAGCGACGACGACGACGACGACGCCGCCCCCGGACCGTCCAACCCGCCGCGCCAACCGGGGGAGGGATGCAGCAGGGACGGCGGAGGCGTCGGCAGGGACGACGACGACGATGATGACGACGACGGCGGCGGCGACTACACGCGGTTCTACAGCCTCCTCGGCATGTAGAACCGCGTGGGCGGCGAGGGAGACGGCGGGGGTAGCCCGCGGTAGTTTTTTTATTTTATTTTTTTTTAAATGTTTAAGTTTGAACGAACTCGCCGATGTTTGTGTTAAATTTGAGTCGTTTTGCGCCGAATTTGATTTTTTTTAACGAACCGTGGGCGCCGCGACTGGGGGGCATCACGCCCCCAGTGCGCGATTTAGCGCCGGTGCGCCCCCAGGGGGCGATTTTTTGCCCCTCCTAGGGGGCCAACGGCTGGAGATGCCCTTAGAAATACGGTCAATACGGTCACCCAATACGACAGGACGTGTTTGTACGGTCACCGTTGCTCATATGCCACCCGCCGCCGCTCGGTTTGACCCGTCAGTGCCGTCCACGTCGGCCCGGTCAGGGTTATTTCTGTAAATTAGCCCGGCGCATGTAATTATCCATCGACCACCCTAAAATACCCCACTCTGTGGCGGAATCCCTAATTCCCCACTCTGTCGCCGACACCGTCGCCCTCTTCTGTGCTGCTTGCTGGCGGCGTCTTCCTGCCTCTAGCCGCCGCCAGTTGCTTCACTCCGCCATGTCGACAAGCTCAGTCAGGTCTTTGCTCGGCGGCCGTTCGGTGGTGGTGCCGCTCATCAGATGCCCTTCTTCCCGCACTCGTGTTAAGTTTTATCTCTCCAACACGGAGAAGCACGAGGGCTGGGTCTTCTACAGGTGTCCTATTGGTGTAAGTGGGGTGCATCCCTGTTCTTCATTTTGGTCGAATTTTGGGGAACTTGTAATGGTGATTTTTGGCGTTTGTTCTTTTCTTTTGATCTTCAGGACCATTTCTGGCATTGGGAGTTGGAATACGTTGGCTACTTGCTTGAAAATCAATTTCTCGCGGGCAATGAAGCCGTAGATGCATTAGGAGCTGCATAAGATAGGAGGGAAGAGCTGGTGCGAGTAAGGAATCGAAGATATGCAGGTGGAGGTGCAGTTGATCTTCCAGGCTTTGAAGATGGAAATCACGGAAGAGTTCCAGGGCAAATGAGCAATCAGCAAGTAGAGGCACTCGTAGGGTTAGGCAATGAAATGTTGGTGATGATGAAGGCACTGTTGGCAGCACTCATTGTAGTTGCAGTGCTTGTAGTTATTTTTCTGCTGAAGAAGTGATGGAGTTGATGCAATATGTAGTTCATGCAGTATGGCTATTGCCTAGTTTGTTAGGAGATGAACTAGTACTATGTGGTAGTATTGTTAGTGTCAAGTGACAATCTTTTGCATTGTATATGATGCTTTTGCAATATGTAATGTAAGTGACAATCTTGTACTGCAAATGGAAGTTAATGGATGATGATCTTGATGTCTTATGAAGATATCATTATTATGTTATCATATTTGGGTTGTGTGTACATTGGAAAGGTAGGTGGTGCTGTCAATTTGGGCACATTTGACCATTGTCATATTTGGCTTGTGTGTGTGCTGTCAATTTAGGCAATGAAATATTGTGTTCATTTTGCTTGCAAGATAACTATGGAACTGCTGCAAGTTGAAGAGGACAAATGTGACCATTGTCATATGTTGGGCAATGTTATAACCAGGGCATTAAGCATAGTCATAAGTAGGGCAAAGAAGTATCTTGTAGAACTGGTTACAAAATGAGCAACAATTGATCCATACTCATGTGTCTACATCATTATGGATCAATTGCAACATTCCTACATTACCAACTGGTTACAAAATAAGAAGGTTGCATATTACAATGGATGTTCTGGCTCTCCACTGTCTCATCATCTGAAGATATCAAACATGGATGTTTTGCTAGCCTTCCTTGGCTGACCATCTTCTTGATGTTGTGAATCATCCTGTCTTTTACCCATTGCAATAGATATTAGCCTAAGTTCTTCTTTTCTTTGTGCTGCAACAGTCTCTTTCTCTACTTTTTTATCTGCTCTTCTTTTTGCTGCAGCAGCCTCTTTCTGTGCTAGCTTCTTGTTCTTTTTTAGCCTTCTTCTCACCCTCCTTCTTTGCTTTGTTCTCAGCAGCTATAGTTTTCTTAACCTCCAGAAGAATCTGCCTTGTCTCTGCTTGAGCTTGCTTTTTTATTGCTGCTTCTTCTTTCTTCTTCTCTCTATTCTGAGCAGCTGCCTGTCTCTTCCTCTCTGCCTCTGTTGTTTTCTTCTCCTCTTGCAGATGTCTCTTCTTGGCAGCTTCTTGAGCCTTCTTTTCTTGTTCTTCTCTCCATGCTGTAAGTATAGCATTTTTCTTGTCTTCTATGTCTTTGTCTCTCTGCTTTTTTAATGCAAGTAACTTCTTGGGCATCTCTCCTTGCTAAATGGTGCTTGTGCTCCCTTGGTTTTGATTGAGCAATAGAAAGGAATGTAGACTTTAGAACAGGTCCTTGTGCAATCACTCTTGGCACATGCCTCTGCATGTATGAAAAAACTTACCATGAGATCATGTACTACACAATAATAGTAGGCTTGGCAAAATATATGAGATCATGTATGACAAAACTTACCCTTTCTATCATTTGATCAACCATAAGATCTTCTATGATAGGATTTTCTGCAGGGTTGTGTTCCTGCTCAAAAATGAAGCAATAATCAAGTGATCCAACATAGATGCCCAACTGAAACATCGTATGCATTATTTAGTGCAAAAACATACCTGAGTAATGACAGGATCTTCATCTTGCACATGTTGCTCAGGTGGTGATGTTGCTTCATGATTTTCTTGTGGTGCTGATGCTGCCTGCATATTTGGAGGAGGTACTCCTGCCTTGAGGTACTTGCATCCTTTAGTGTTGTGATCTGCCTCTCCACAATTTTTGCAGTGCATGATGACACCATGCCTAGACATTTTCTTGCCACCATTACTGCAGATTACTTCACCTGGTTCTTTTCTTCCGCTCTTGCATGGCCTGCCTACTTGCTTGGTGTACATGAAGGAAATATGCCCTAGAGGCAATAATAAAGTTATTCTACGGGATCACATCATTAGGAGAATGATGTGATTGACTTGACCCATTCCGTTAGCTTAGCACTTGATCGTTTAGTATGTTGCTATTGCTTTCTTCATGACTTATACATGTTCCTATGACTATGAGATTATGCAACTCCCGTTTACCGGAGGAACACTTTGTGTGCTACCAAACGTCACAACGTAACTGGGTGATTATAAAGGAGCTCTATAGGTGTCTCCGAAGGTACATGTTGAGTTGGCGTATTTCAAGATTAGGATTTGTCACTCCGATTGTCGGAGATGTATCTCTGGGCCCTCTCGGTAATGCACGTCACTATAAGCCTTGCAAGAAATGTAGCTAATGAGTTAGTTACGGGATAATGCATTACGTAACGAGTAAAGAGACTTGCCGGTAATGAGATTGAACTAGGTATTGAGATACCGACAATCAAATCTCGGGCAAGTAACATACCAATGACAAAGGGAACAACGTATGTTGTCATGCGGTTTAACCGATAAAGATCTTTATAGAATATGTAGGAGCCAATATGACCATCCAGGTTCCGCTATTGGTTATTGACCGGAGACGTGTCTCGGTCATGTCTACATAGTTCTCGAACCTGTAGGGTCCGCACACTTAAAGTTTCAATGACGGTTATATTATGAGTTTTGATGTACCTAAGATTGTTCGGAGTCCCGGATGTGATCACGGACATGACGAGGAGTCTCGAAATGGTCGAGACATGAAGATTGATATATTGGAAGCCTATATTTGGATATCGGAAGTGTTCCGGGTGAAATCGGGATTTTACCGGAGTACCGAGGGGTTACCGGAACCCCCCGGGGGCTTAATGGTATAGTGGGCCTTAGTGGAGAAGAGGAGAGGAGGCCAGGGCAGGGCCGTGCGCCCCTCCCTCCCTAGTCCGAATAGGACAAGGAGAGGGGGCGGTGCCCCCCCTTTCCTTCCTCTCTCTCCCTCCTCTTTCCCCCTTCTCCTAATCCAACAAGGAAGGGAGGGAGTCCTACTCCCGGTGGGAGTAGGACTCCTCCTGGCGCGCCTCCTCCTGGCCGGCCGCACCTCCCCCCTTGCTCCTTTATATACACGGGCAGGGGGGCACCCTAGACACAACAATAATTGATCATTGATCTCTTAGCCGTGTGCGGTGCCCCCCTCCACCATATTCCACCTCGATAATATCGTAGCGGTGCTTCGGCGAAGCCCTGCGTCGGTAGAACATCATCATCGTCACCATGTCGTCGTGCTGACGGAACTCTCCCTCAAAGCTCGGCTGGATCGGAGTTCGAGGGACGTCATCGAGCTGAACGTGTGCTGAACTCGGAGGTGCCGTACGTTCAGTACTTGGATCGGTCGGATCATGAAGACGTACGACTACATCAACCGCGTTGTGCTAACGCTTCCGCTTTTGGTCTACGAGGGTACGTGGACACACTCACCCCTCTTGTTGCTATGCATCATCATGATCCTGTGTGTGCGTAGGATTTTTTTTCTCGAAATTACTACGTTCCCCAACAGTGGCATCCGAGCCTGGTTTTATGCGTTGATGTTATATGCACGAGTAGAACACAAGTGAGTTGTGGGCGATGCAAGTCATACTGCTTACCAGCATGCCATACTTTGGTTCAGCAGTATTGTTGGATGAAGCGGCCAAGACCGACATTACGCATATGCTTACACGAGACTGGTTGTACCGACGTGCTTTGCACATAGGTGGCTGGCGGGTGTCAGTTTCTCCAAATTTAGTCGAACCGAGTGTGGCTATGCCCGGTCCTTGAGAAGGTTAAAACAGCACTAACTTGACGAACTATCGTTGTGGTTTTGATGCGTAGGTAAGAACGGTTCTTGCTCAGCCCGTAGGAGCCACGTAAAACTTGCAACAACAAAGTAGAGGACGTCTAACTTGTTTTTGCAGGGCATGTTGTGATGTGATATGGTCAATACGTGATGCTATATTTTATTGTATGAGATGATCATGTTTTGTAACCGAGTTGTCGGCAACTGGAAGGAGCCATATGGTTGTCGCTTTATTGTATGCAATGCAATCATCCTGTAATTGCTTTACTTTATCACTAAGCGGTAGTGATAGTCGTAGAAGCAATAGGTGACGAAACGACAACGATGCTACGATGGAGATCAAGGTGTCGCGCAGGTGACGATGGTGATCATGGCGGTGCTTCGGAGATGGAGATCACAAGCACAAGATGATGATGGCCATATCATATCACTTATATTGATTGCATGTGATGTTTATCCTTTATGCATCTTATTTTGCTTTGATTGACGGTAGCTTTATAAGATGATCTCTCACTAAATTTCAAGGTATAAGTGTTCTTCCTGAGTATGCACCGTTGCGAAAGTTCTTTGTTCTGAGACACCACATGATGATCGGGTGTGATAGGCTCTACGTTCAAATACAACGGGTGCAAAATAGTTGCACACGCGGAATACTCAGGTTAAACTTGACGAGCCTAGCATATACAGATATGGCCTCGGAACACTGAGACCGAAAGGTCGAGCGTGAATCATATAGTAGATATGATCAACATTGTGATGTTCACCATTGAAAACTACTCCATCTCATGTGATGATCGGACATGGTTTAGTTGATTTGGATCACGTGCTCACTTAGATGATTAGAGGGATGTCTATCTAAGTGGGAGTTCTTAAGTAATATGATTAATTGAACTTTAATTTATCATGAACTTAGTCCTGGTAGTATTTTGCAAATTATGATGTAGATCAATAGCTCGTGTTATTGCTTCCCTATGTTTATTTTGATATGTTCCTAGAGAAAAACTATGTTGAAAGATGTTAGTAGCAATTATGCGGATTGGATCCGTGATCTGAGGATTATCCTCATTGCTGCATAGAAGAATTATGTCCTTGATGCAGCGCTAGGTGACAGACCTATTGCAGGAGCAGGTGTAGACGTTATGAACGTTTGGCTAGCTCAATA